GTGTGTGGTCCTATATGTCCTATGTGCTGTTCTGTGTGCCCTGTGTGTCCTTTGTAGTGTCCTGATAGATTGTTGGTTGTTTAACTCATGCTTCCTGTTGTACTTAGAGCTTTTGATATTTGAAAGGAGATTTTTCTCTATTTGGGACCTTCTATAATTTTTTTATATGTTGAAAAGCATATCATTTTTACAAAAGAAAGCAACTTCAAAGATTCTTTTTTCTAGATCTCGGGAGTCTTGAGCAGTCAGAACAAGCCTTGGGAAATACAGCCTCAATTTTCACTGCTTCCTTCAGGGTCTCCTTTGGTTTTTGAAGGATTGTTTCGTTAAACCATTCTCTATAAAGAGAAATGGGTGGTGGATGAGAGCCCTTGTCATGCCAGTCTGATGACCTGTGTTCAGTCCCAGGAATTCACAAGGTCCCCTTATCTCCATATGTATGCTGTGTTGTTTACACATGCACATGGGTCCTTGTGTGTGAACACAAACACACACGCACATACTAAACAAAAGAGAAAACTTTTTAAAGCATGTACTTGTAATTAGAAGATGCTGTCAGTTCTCTGACTTTACATCAACTAGACTTTCTTGTCTGAGTCCAGAGTGGGTTAAAGGGCAGGGGTATGCAGAATGGGTTCCATGTTGAGAAAGGGTTGCAACACACAAAGATACTTAGTCACTGATATTCTAGTTTTTATTTATTCTGCTGCTGTGATAAACACCATGAACAAAGCATGCTGGGAGAGTAAAGGGCTTATTTTATCTGTTACTGAGGGAAGTCCCTTCAGGAACCCAAGGCAGGAACCTAGAAACAGGAACTGAAACAGAGACCGCAGAGGAATGCTGCTTTCTGGCTTGCTCCTTAGGGCTTCCTCAGGTTGCTTTTTTACACAACCCACAGTGAGCTGGGCCTTCCCACAACAATCTTATCTCAGTGCATCCCCCATAGGCTTGCTTAAGGGGAATCTGATTGAGCAATCCCTCAATTGAAATGACCTCTTCCCAAATAATTGTAACTTGTGTCAAATTGATAAAAACAATCAAGTTGATAAAAACAAACAAGCAAGCAAGCAAACAAACACCCCCCCCCCACAGTCTTACTTTGCACGTTTGACTGTTATTTGAATTTTTTGTTTTTGTTTTGTTTTTTCTTTTTTTCTTCCCAACCTTAGCTTGGTTTATTTCTAGCCAGATTTTCTTAGTTAATTAATTAATTTATTATTTATTTATTTAAAATTTCCACCTCCTCCCATCCTCCCATTTCCCTCCTACTCCCTTCCCTCTCCCTCCCCCTCGCTTTCCCTACTGCACGTACTGGCTTTTTGGGAGCCTAGTCTGTTTGGATGCACACCTTCCTAGACCTGGATGGTTTTGGTTTTTGAATCAGAGTTTAATGAAATCCACTATGACCCAGAATCACTTATCTATCTGAGTTGACCCAAGTACGAAGATTATCGTACATTTTTCCCCCAACACCAAATGACTCTATAACTTTCCAACACCAACTGAGTACCTACCAGTTACCTTAACCCAGGGATGGTAGGGAATCAACAAGCTAAAGGCCCCATCCCATAAGGCTGCCTGCCCCTCTGCCAGCTGCAGATGGAGTGTCCACCCCATTCGTATTTCTTTCAAGCCAGCTACAGACTTACAAGTTGCTTCCAGCCTCAATAATAAATAAAACAAAACAAAAACACTCATGTAAGTATCCTTTGTATGCTTATTAGTATGTTACAAAGGACACGGTGACCCAGCAACAGCGATAGAGAGATGTACACACAGGACAGGGTCTCAGAGAAAGCATGGGAGGGTCTATGCCCTCTCTAAAGGTTCCATCTTCATTCCGCCTCACGCTTCCACCTGAAGAGACCTCAGGCAGAGTTCTATGGGGGGTCCGTTCCATAAGCTGCCCTTGAGCTGAAGGTGTGGCACAGTGCTGGTGGTGGAGACGGCCGAAGAAGAATCTGCCCTTCTGTTCTTGGACAAAGCGTAGTTTGAGTCAGCTCCCTGCACGTGTTTTCCCCACACCATGGCATTTAATATCCAGTTTTCTTGTTCTTTCTAAAATTCCTCTTGCAATAACATCATTTCATTAAAATTTAATATTAAAAGATTTCTACATCTCGTCAGTATGACGGTTTTGATCCCCTATTATATTAAAAATACTTCTCTGTCGTGTTTAAAGTTTGATTAACACAAAAATTAGAGTGGTAAAAAGATAATTTCATTCTCAGAAAGGGGCGGGATTTCCTGTGGATGAGGGAGATTGTACAAAGACCCTGTCTACTATGAAGACCGGTGTACCGTCTCTGTCAGGATGGGAGGAATGGTACCCTTGTTGCTGGCATGAGGACGAAGTTAAATTAAGAACAGGAAAACCAAACGTATCCAGTTATTTCTCATCCCGAACTTCCATTGGATGCCTCTTCTGTCAGTCACAGTATTGACTCTTAAGTTAGCTAGTATCATAGCTATCTTCTAAGATGCATGTTTCCCCCAGCGTAGAAAAAAATTCCAGTCAGTCGATAACTTCAAAGAGAGGTGATGCATTAACAGGAAGGAAGCGTGGTAGAGAAACGTCCATGTGAGATGTGAATTTCTTTTCTTACGTTAAGACTATTAAAATTCTTTTCCCTGCAGATCTTGTGCTGTATTTTAAGGTTTTTTGAAAGGAAGCCATTCCATCAGCCGTATCCCTAAACTTAACTCGAAATTACGGTACCAGATGAAGCAGGCCAAACTGATGAGGGGAATTTTTCCCACATGGCTCCCTTCATTGTTGAACATTTAGAATCAAAGGAAAGGTGACTGACATTGGACCTGAGGGAGTCAAGGAGAAAGTGATTGACACTGTGCCCAAGAGCACAGGAAGATGTTAGAGTAGTTGCTTAAAAATCAGATTGGGAGAAATCGCAGCTATTTTGAAAATTGCAAGGATGACTGAAATCTCAAAAGGAATTTTCAAAATATGTGAATATATGGAGTAGCTGAAAAGCTCGTATGTGGCTTGTGGAAAGTAAAAATTCAAAAGCACTTTGTTTGAAGCGCTAATAGTAAAATACATGCATATCCAATGGCCTAGCAAACTCACTGTCATTGGTATGTGTAATTTATATAAACATAACTAGATACATGATATATGCATATATATTATATTTAAATAATACATAAATGATACATATGCGTGTGCACTCATGCATATGAGACTTGGTATCTTGTAACACAGGCTGGCCTTAACATCACTACGTAGCCCTGAACTTCTTCAACTTGACCTTGAACTATTGATTCTCCTACTTTCACTTGCCTACTTGAGGGATTGTAGGTGTGTGTCACCACACTTGTCTTATGTGTATGTCTATTTGTTAATCTTGGCAATTGCATCCATATATCCATGCATGCGTGCACACGCACACACACACTCACACACTGTATATACTTTGCATGTTAATAGCTCAGTCGGAAGTTTACCTTAACAGTTTTTTTTAGTAGCAGGGAAAGACAGAACAATATGTTTTAGCATGCTACCAAGAAACAGAATTTGAGGCTGAACCTGACTGTGTACCAAAAGGCTTAGACTTCCTCTGGTGTCTAGAAGGTGGGAGTGCACACCAGAGAGGGACCTGTCATTCCAGAGACATTAGTTTCTCTTGAGGACGGAGGAGGAACAATGACTCTGGGGTGACAGCCGCTCTTATTCTATCCTTGTGACATGAAGGTGTTACCTGTGGCCTCCATAAATAAACTCACCAATCATACCTCATCCTTTGACACATGGCCCCTTGTTCTTGGAGTTTTCAGTGAAAAGGGATGGGAGTCAAAATACAGTATCTGTATTTGGCAGACATCATGTCACTAAGGTAACTGCAATGTTAAGTAAACTAACATGGCACTTCATAACTTTTTAAATAACTGGTTCTATAGTTAACCTGGAAAGGAGTCGATATGTTGGTATTTCTATTTATATAAATATAGATACGTTTGCATTTATTATATATAAATAATAAATAGTAAAGGAGAGATACTACAAAAGATGGTAGAAATACTTTAATGCTAATTACTATTTCTTTATTGTCTACTTTGAAAGTCATCTGTAAAGATTATTAAATTGGGCCTGAGGACTGGGGATAGATATCTTAGTCAGGAAAGGCAAGTGTAAGGATCGAACTTCAATTCCCAGGACCCATGTGTGGAAATGCTGGGCACAGTGGCACAGACCTGTAAACCTAGAACCAGGGAGGCAGAGACAGGTAGTTGCCTGGGCTCGCTGACAGGCAGCCCAGCCTAATTCATGAGGCCCCAGCCATCATGCTTTCTTGGGAATAAATGGATGAATGATTCATTTAATAAATCATCAATAAATTAGTAAAACTTGTCCTCTAATGTCTTACCAGGTTTCAAACCCTCAACATTGAATTCACTGTGGCCATTTTTCATGGTGTTTATATTTCATTCACTACCCCAAATATTAATATAGACCAGTGTGCAGTGGGTTCCAGGATACATTCATCTCCTAGAAACCATTTTTGTTCTTTCTCTTGTAATCAGTGCTGTGATCACAGAAGCTTTAGTCTGCTTAGGGTGACTCTTTTAGCTCTTGGCCATAGAAACTTGAAGCCTCTTTAAGACAGAGTGATCTCAAACCCGGTGTCTACACACTTCCTGGCGCCCGTGGCAGGACATAGGCTCACAAGGAGAGTGTGAGGTTTTCTCAATGGGCCTCTCAATCCTTACGAAGAATGGTCCAAAAGTCCCGTGCAAGAATGATATCAACGCAAATAGCCCTTGTTTTTAGAAATGGGTGATTTTTATGAGTGGATCTACAGATGTCAGTAGAATATAAAATGGCATTCGTGACATGTCATCCATGTGGAGAGCTGAAGCTTCCAGCTTTATCATAAACGTGATGCTTACCGCCTTTTATAGAACACTGTTGTGAAGTTTGCTTCAGTTGGCAGTTTGAAACAATGCATCTCACGTGCACTTCTGTGCTTTTTCCTCAGGTCCCCTTCGACATCTCGCTGCCTGCTATATTCAGTCTCGAGAGACTTTTCGATCTTGCCAGTGGTTGTATTGTGTCAGTAGGCAGCCTTTTCAACTGGATGATATCCATTATTCCCTGAGCATCCTTTACAGGGTGACTCTAAGGGGGGTTTTAGTTGTTACTGATGATCCAGTTGGAACAAAATTTCTCAAGTTTTTAATCTCATAAATACCAATATTTTCTGTTATGTTGAACTCAAGAAGTTTCTTGATTTGGCCTGGGAAGAAATGGTTGACCTTGCATGGTATATGCTTCTGAGGGGCATCTCAGCATGGAACTTCATTGTACCAGCTTTGGGATTCTGCGGACCTATGTCTGGGTAGCAACCTTGCCACATGCCTGCTTAGTACCTTTAAGGGCTTAGTTTCAGCTCTTAAGCTCTTGCATCTCCATCTGTAGGATGAGAGTATTTGTGTCTGTCTCATGATGCTGTGGTTGTGTATTAAAGTAAGCGAAGCAGCTTAGGTGCTCAGCTCAGGCCTGATGAAATGGATGACTGGGGCCTGTCATTTGCCTGTAAACCAGAAGAGCACCAGACATTTGTACCGTCCATCTAACATCTAACTATGCTGTCCGTACACTAACCCTTTTCACGCTCTGTCACATGAACAGATACTCATGAAAATAAAGAAGCAAAATAAACATGCAATTTTATGTTTGTACTCAAGTTTTAAATTGTACACATACCCAAGGTTCCAATGTTTGGGGACCACTGAACCCAAACTGGCCTATGACATTATATGACGGGAATGAAGCTTTTACTGAGGACGTTAAAAATAAAAATTGGGCATTTGAAACTTTACTATAGTTTTGCCAGCAGTAGGAACACTGGAAAAGAACAGAGGGTTGAGGGTGCCTATGGTGTATTGGTGAAGAACCTGACTACTACGTATCTGGAGTGTGTGAAGTTTGGGTGAAAAAAGGGTGTTCCCTCTAAAATAGACTAGTCTGAAGACCAGAGGGTCAGTCAGTAAAGGAGAGAAGACTGTTAGGGGTGGATCAGGAGAGGAGAGACAAGCTCCCAACCAGAATACAGGGGAGAGAAAAAACAGAGAGCCGAGTGACTGACAAATTGGTGGCCAAGAAAGATACACATATAACATCTAATAGAAAATTCCATGACAGACATGAAGGCCAACAGGAAACCATGCCACAATGAAAGGAACAAAGACCAGTGAGCTTGGGGGAAAGGCTCTACCTGATAACTGCACTCCTACATGAAGTCTGGCTCAAGCAGAAAAGCCGTTCCGATGGTGAAGGCTGTTCTAGGTCCTTTGGAGGAGGATGGGGATTTATAAATGTCTCTGCTGTGTTAGAGAACAGGTTTGCACTTCTTAATACTGGAAGTTTAATGTTACATAAAGGTTGGCATCCAATGGCCAAGAAAGGCCAACATATTAGCTATACATTTGACACATCACACATGACAACATGGCGAGGGCCATCCACTTCGACCTCTTGTTAATTTCCCAAAATGCAATATGGTCGTTTTTCATCCTTCACTATTAAAATTTTACTGGTTGGATACTTAATTTTCTTATAAATATTAATGAATATAATTTTATAGACTTTGTTTTTCAATTTTTTGAGACAGGGTTTCTCTGTGTAACAGCCTTAGCTGTCCTGGAACTAGTTCTGTAGTTCAAACTCACAGGGATCCACCTGCCTCTGCCTCCTGAGTGCTGGGATTAAAGGCGTGCCCCACCACTGCCCAGCTAATTTCATACACTTTTTAAGGAACCATAGAACAATGTCTGGTGCTCCATAGAGGCCTATAATATATACTGAGTGAATGGTTACATGGAGAAATGATTGTGAGCCAGGCAAGGCGACACATGGAGCTGTAAGAAAGAGGGAGTCCAAGATGTCACTAAGACCACCATCACTAATATCAGCACCACTGTCGCCTTTCTGGATCATTGCCATGCCGTGTTAGCCGTTACTGCACATGAATTATATCCCTCTGTCTTCACAAAAACCATGACCACCGTGCACAGAGAGAATATTATCTATGCCTGTATGCTGACTTCCTAAGAGGAAGACAGGTCCCTTCCAACCATTGCAGCTAATGGAGCATCTCAGGGCATTTGAAAAGCTGCCCCTTCCTTCCCTTTCTGGCATTTACAGATGCTATTATTTATATTATTATATTATTATGGTTGTTGTTTTGCCGAAGAAAAACACTGTCTACAATGTGCCAGATCCTGCAGTCACAATTTCTAAGCGGTTATTCTAGAAATTCCCTTATCTTCTCATATGAGAGTGATATTCCGTAGTTAAAGCAGGAGCAGTCTGTGCTGTGCATTGAGGGAGCGTGAAGGAGGCTGAAGCACAAACAAACAAAAGTCAAAATCTGCAAGGATGAACAATGTGTTTATTTCCCTAAATGTCTTGCAAGTTTTTTTTCCAAGACCAAATTACAATTTTTGCAACTGCTTTTCTCTCTTAAACTCCGTCTATAGTATCCGTAAACACTTGCCAGCACACGCCTCTGATGTTCTCCACTTGCTTTAATTAGAACAGAGACAGCAGGAAGCAAGGTGGGGGGCGGGGGAGAGAAAGAATTAAAAACCAGGGGAGGGAAGGCTTGGGAAGGGAAGCTGCAGCCTGCAGCTAAGGTATACGTAATAGAAGACAAGTGTTCCCCTGCCTGGCTTATTCCTCCAAGGAGCTGATGTCTAACTTGTCTACCTGCCGTCCATTGGATGCTGAGTGCCGTTGTGTGGTTCATTGCATTTGGGGCACATACCCAAGAGCGTGATGCTGACATTATAAATGCCCAAGTAACAGAATGTGATACAATTCTTACTGAATTATGAGATAAGTATCAACTTACAGTCATCCAAAAAGTAGGTTGAAGTGTCGTGACGTATCTATAGGCCGTACAACATTTAAAGGCAAGGATAACGATATAGTAGTTATGGAATCATAATACATAAATACTAAGTTTTTAAGAACAAGTTAACGGTTGGCAGTGAATTCCAGCTGTGGTCATCTCTTGGATGAAAAAGAGAAAAGGAGCTCTGGGAAGTCTCAGGAGTTTCAGTTGTGTTTTTAATTTTCTTTCTTAAGCCAAATATTTGTTATGTAAGTCTCTCAGGTTTTTGCGAGCATATGTTTCATAAATTAAAAACAAACACCTCCCTTTCTTTCCTCATCTTCTTGGTTGGCAAGCTTTGTCAGCTTATTGACTTGCATGCCCGTCAGCAAGAACTAAATGGGAATTGTGTTTCTGGAAGCATACATGGCTACCACTCAGTGGTACTCAGATCTGGTTCCATTCATTTCAGATCTGAATGACAACTAAAAGTCATTTGAAAACTCATGTTCAATGATATCCATATGCCCATTTTTTTTGGAAAATCAAGCCATGAAAATATTAATTCTTCATATAAAATAGTAGAGCCTTAATAAATGCTTAATTCACCGGAAGCAGAATCCCTACACAGTTATAAGTCCCTTGTTTCTTTTAAATGATTTGATTTCTCAAAATTAGATCTGTGTGGAACCTTACCCATGACTGCCTATTGTATAAAATCAGCTCCCACGTAAAGCCCCTCTACCATTCATACTTTCAATGTTTTAAATATATATAAAGAAGTTTCTCTTTAACAAAGACTCATTTTTGGTGTTTACTCTCTCTTCAATAATGGCTTGCTTACGAGTTGCAATTTTGACACGAACATTTCCATGACAACCCATTTTTTTTTTTTTTGTCACAAACGCATGCATGATAAAGAGGGAGGCTTTAGTGAGAAAGCTGGGTTAAGAGGCACAGGAGTTATCACAAGCACATTTTCAACTGGAACTTCAGAGACAAGACAGAATTAATTGCCATTGCAAATGAATTGTGCTCGCTGCCCCCTGACGCTTCAGATCCCCTCTGTCTAGTTTGTGTGGAACAGCTCCAATGAGTGGATCTGGAACCAGAGCCTGTGCCAGCACAGTCCGCTTTGAAGCTGCCTTTTGAACCATCCACATGGGGAAGCTCTAGAGATTTCTGAACACGCTAGGATGTCCGGTCTCCTTCCTTCCTCGATTCAGTTCTCTCCCTCAAGAGCCACGAGAATTTCTTGGACCGACTTCCCATCATTAGAAAGTATAATTCAAAACTAGCAGAATCTGTCAATTGTGGAAAGGGAGAAAGAACAAAAATTACTCAGAAGTCTACCAAGGCTCATAATTAAACATAGTCCATCAAATCTGTCTAATTATTATACTAAGAGCCAAAGAGAAACAATGTTCTAACAACTATCAGACTCAAGATTCCAGGCGAGGAGCTGGAGAGATGGCTCAGTGGTTAAAAGCATTGCCTGCTCTTCCAAAGGTCCTGAGTTCAATTCCCAGCAACCACATCATGGTGGCTCACAACCGTCTGTAATGAGGTCTGGTGCCCTCTTCTGGCCTGCAGACATACACACAGACAGAATGTTGTATACATAATAAATAAGTAAATAAATAAATATTAAAAAAAAGATTCCAGGCGACTTTCCGTATTCCCTAAATGTCTCATAAATGGGCCTTTTCAGAGCTGATGGCTGGAAAAGTGCTCAAGTTGGGCGTGTGTAGATCTGGAGGTTCATAAAGTAATGAAGATGTAACGAGGTCCAAAGGCATTGGCCAGGGTTGTTCTCCCCGGTCATAACAATGTAATGACCTACAAAAAGAAATCAGATTTTAGTTTTGCCCTTTAGAGGCAGGTCATTTAATCACCCTTCCACAGATAAATTAATGTCTCCATGGCCAACCTAGCTCTTTCATTCAAATATGTAGTTGTTCATTTGAAATTGGTTATTTTTTTCATTTGATAGTTTTAATTCACTATACGTGAATTTTGCTACCTAGGTAAATGTCTTTTCCCACTCTTTTTAATTGGAAGAAGTATTTAAAAACACTCACTATATTCCAGGGACCATAAACCCAATAAATGGTACCTGGGCCGTCGCTGTCTCCAGTATCACATTTGATCCAGCAATCAATCCCACTTCTGTAGATAGAACCAAAGGAAATAGAAGCAGTATATTAAAGAGACATCTACACTCCAATGTTCATGTCAAGATATAATAACAGATGTCTATAAACCTGATGAATGAATAAAGAAAAATCCCAAATCACAATAGACTACTACACATTTTTTTTTAAAAAAAGAAGGGACCTTATTACCTATGACTTCATGGATGAAGCTGGAATGCATTATATTAAGTGAAATAAGCCAATCATGGGAAGACAAATGCCAGGCGGCCTCACTTACACGTAGACTTTCATAGAGTTATAAGTAGTCACATGGCATGTACTGGGAGCAGGGAGGGATGGTTGGACACATGTTGGTGAAAGTGTATAAAATATCATAGTGATGGGAAGAATAAGTTCAAGGGAATCTATTGAACAAAGTAGCATCTGAAGTCAACCACAATATATGTGGTATTGAAAATTATTGGGTAGATTTTAAGTGTTCTCACCACAAAATATATATGTGAATATACACATTTATTAACTTGGTCATTTCAGAAAACAGTATTTCATGTGTGATACAAGCATAGGGAGATATGTGTATACATGAGAGAGATTTCATATATGTATACGAGAGAGAGCCCTTTGAATATGCTAGGTAACATTCTATCAAAGCTTA